AGCCCTTTTGGCTCGAGGTTACAGGCACCTCGCAGGTGTACGGCTATGTTCACTTCATCCATCGAAGTCAGCTTCATTCCCTCCTTCCAGCCGATCGCCTTAAGTGCGAGCCGAAAATCCGCGAAGAACACGCGAAAGTTCGTTGCCCCCTTTAGGTATTGAGACTTGTCTGGTTTGAATGAGAAGCGCTTCCAGCAGAGCCTTACGGCCGGCGAGCGCGTGCCCCGTGCTCTGTCATCTCCATCCGAATCACTCGAATCGTCTGGGTCGCTCGGCGGTTGGGTGCGGCGGCGGATTGCGTCTCGTCTTCTCTTCCTTTCCTTTCCGTCATCCGACTCGTTGTCGTCTGGTGGTGGTGGATTGCCGCCGGTTGGCCTTCTTCTCAGCTTCTCGAGCTGTTTGGCGATCTTTTCCTCATAGTGCTTCCGTAGCTGTTCTTCTGCCGCCTTAGCGGTTACGTCAGCGAGCTGGTCCTTTTCTTGCAATTGATCAAGCCCTTCGTAGGGTAGCCAGTCTACGGGGGGTTCGGCAGCCCCGTAATTCGATCGGGCTGGCTGGTAAAGTTCTTTTGCCTGCTCAACAGATGAGCGGCGTGACCGCCAAGATTTCGACCGTGAGCTCGGTCGCGATTCTTTTGTTTGCACTAGTGCGTCAAGTTGGTTCTTGTAGTGCTCAATTCGTTCGTTCTGCTGCTGTTGAACGCGCTGGTTCTCTTCTTCCTTGGCAGCGTACGTTGATTTTATCTCTTTTAGCTCTGCCATCAGCTCAGCTATCGACGGATGCTGATTGGTAGATGCGCTGGCGCCAGTGGCGCCGTCAGCGCTGTCAGGCGTACCTGCCTCAGCCGCAGCTTTGCTGCCCCGCGTCATCATGCGTGACGGCGCGGTTGCCATGTTGGTGGCTAAGGTGTAATAACGCGTGTTCTGTGTCGTTCACGTACGACGAGCTGATCTGACTTCAATAGGGCGTAATAATCGCTCCTTCTTCCTCTCACGTCAACAGATTTGACGGCGATTCAGCTAATCGCTGTAGGTGAGGATCCTTGGGATACGCGCGAGAATTGCCTTGCGATGAAGTCAGGGCTCACGATGATGATTATCTCGCAGAATGCGCGAGAGTAATCTCTGTGATGGTTGTCGACCTCCGAATTGGCGTAAAATAACGCATCCGTCTCTCTCCCCACGACGGCGATCCAGCAGCAGCTGTCTGATCGCACCGCAACGGCGGCAGGGAAGAGTCCTTGGGAGTAATCGCGATAAATGCCTTTTTATCGAAGTCTGCCGTTTAAGATGATCTTGCCGTAATGCGCTGCCTTGATCGTCTTCTGAGATGCTACCATGTGGGCAAATCGCAGCCCACCGTTCATTGTTGTTCTTATGACTATCGTTACTTGCCGTAAGCTCTGGCTAATCTACAGTGGCTACACTGTGTGGTCCGTGCGGGGCCGAACACTGCCATTTCTGCCCACAGTTTCGAAAGGCCAGCTCCCAAGCGGTCGCGCTATACTGTTCACCGAACGCTGCAGTGCTGGAGACATCTGATAGATAAACGTAGCATCTCTCCGCATCCCGATACCACCGGAACATGCTATTGATTGCAGTCTGGAGCTCGATACTGTCGGACTTATCTATACAGCAGGTGTCGACCCAGAAGTATCGCAACCCGTGCTGTCTCGCTTGTTCAGCACAAAACTTGATCTTTTCGTAGCCAGCTTTGTGCTGCCAATGATCTTCTGCCTTTGCTAGGTCAGCGAAGACCACCTCGTCTGGTCCCCACGTGTGGGAAAGGATCGCGTAAGAAGGAACATCGTCGGAAGCGAGGTCCGGGGTAAGGCTGTACCTGCCAGCGTCGTCGCGTTGTAATAACCGCATCGTAAGGCCTAAGATTCATGCAACTCAGCGCTCTATTAACATATAACAGACGATTTCTGGCTGGAGGACCTTGCTTTCCGGATTGAAGCTGGCATCATTTCCGTCGTCGCAGATCAGTCAGAATTGTAAGGCTGCATATGCGGGGTATGGGCCAGTCGACTTAGCCGCAAGCCCGTGGACAACATAGGATAAAGATCGAGGCTCGTTTACGCGTCTGATTTTGTACTTGCTGTTACAGAGTGATGCGCACTGAGGCCGTTCGTCTTATCCTGTTGTGAGAATTGTAAGGTTGTAAACAACAATAAGTGCAAAGAGAACAGCACAGTTCGCGAGCGCTGGGAGTAGGATGTTACAGCTCCACTTGGCAGCCCACCCGCCCACTACTACAAAGTGTGCGTCGTCCACCCTGATTTCCTCCCGTCCTTTTCTGTCCTTGCCTAACCTACTATCAATCTTTCCCGGCTATGTACACAACCATGGCGCCCTAACTGCATTCTGTGTAGCGTGATTACATCAAGTCGATGATAAAACTAGGTCTTGAAAACAAGGTTATCGCGTCCAAGGCCTTATGTAGCATTCGCGCCGTCCAGAGAATCCGGCTCGAAAAAGAACCACCCGAAATGTCCAGTGAGAACAGAGCCTCCATCGATCCCCATAGCTATATCACACAACCCATGCGGAAAGCTTCATGTGACATACTAACCGAACGTCCGGACATGTATTGAAGCGAACTCGTAAACTTTGGGAATGATCTATTTGGGAAGGGAGTATCTGAAAGATCAGCCAGTCGGGCCTTACAATCAATAGGTTGGACGAGAACGATGATCCGTCGTATCGCCCAGTAACGTAACGAAGACCTTCGAAATCTCTATCTTCAAACGGTCTCGAAATATAAATCTTACCATCTTTTCTTTGTTGATGAATTTGGTTATGATAGAAGGACTGGATATCGACGCTAGGGTTGGTCACCAAATTTGGTTGTGGAAAAAGATAGCATATGCCGCGCAAGACGGCATCACACTAATGCGAGTGTATCAAGGGTCTACAGACAGTGAATTGTTCCAAGACTTCGTTACGCAGCTACTTCATCACTGCTGCAGATACCCAGAGCCTACATCTGTGATAGTTATGGACAATGCTTCCTGGTATCATTCGGCGAAGATTCAAGAGATGTGCAAAGAGGCTAGTGTAGTAGTCCTATTTATTTCACTCTACTCGTCAGACTTCAACTCTATAGAGGTGCATTTTAGAGAGCTTAAGAATTTTATTAAGAAAAACTGGTTCGAGAACGAACATTTCATCAAAAGAGAGTTCAAAATGTACTTGGAATAGTGCGTCGACGTGGTCGGTAACGATGCAAGCATTGCAGAGAATCATTTCCATTATAGTCGGCTGGTGTAGTTGGTCACTTCGCTGGTAGATAAGTCCCGATTTGAGCCTCGCCCACTTGGGTCGGTGACGAGTCGCGGGTTCGAATCCCGCAGCTGACACACAAGGGGGTTTAGTCAACCCTTACGGCGCGCTGCCCACCTTGTTGACTTCGCCTACCTAGCGATAATAGGGAGATTGGTGCAGTTTAGGATTACGAGCATCCTAGCCAGTCGACCGTCAAGCACTACGTCGGCGGAATATAACTCGACAGCCGGTCCAGAATTCGAATCGTTAATCCGACCCCTTATCGGACCTCGCCTTTCCGATAACGCTCGTCGGCGAACCCGTCCCCTCACGATAGAAGGCGCGCAGCACGCCCTCTCGCCGCGATTCTTGCGAGCGTCTGACCACGTTACGGTCTATCCACTTGAGCGTATGGTTGAGATGTATACGCTCGACGAGAACCCCAATTAGCAGATACTACGACTTGTCGCGACAAAAAAATAGTCGAGCATCTTCTGCACATCAGCAGCATCCCACCCCTGAGGACGAATTTAAGTGCCACATTACCACACTTATCGGTAGTTCAGGCAGGGGTTGTAGCACAGACTTAGGGAGGGACAGGAGGTTTAGTAGTCATTTGGCTACAAGTTTACCTGTATAACCGCCCGACGCGGCTTAAGGGCCCGCTATATCATCTATAGCCCCTTAAGGGAGTACTTGTAGAGGTACCGAGGGTTAACACCTACGGCGTATTTAATTTTTTTTTCCATTATATAGAAATATTAACCACTCAGGCTCCCCAGCTAGAAGCAAGGACCCTAAATCTAGAGTTTTGAATATTACAGTAAAGCAGAATGCCACAGTACGGCAGATAGCACCAGTTAAACATCTCCACTTTCTGTGTTCTGTGACTCTTTCTACCACTTCTCTATGTTAGTCTTGCTCACAAATTGCAACACAACTCCAGATTTCACTTCGCTTTTATCAATAAGTCAGTAGCGGCCTTTGGGTACTGTAGAATAGAGTTCGGCTTTAGGAAGTCATCCATTACACACTGATTCCCTACTTCCAGCTCCGCGCCCCATCTCATATCCTTTGTTTGCGCCAGTGTCCAATTACAATACTCCCTGTCACGGTGAGCACAATTGAAGAGTCAAAACACTCTAATGCACTGTATTGACTTAACGATTCTCGACAAGGAAAGAAAGAGAAACTAAAACAGGCTGGCTCACATCTGAGGATCTTCAATCCCGCCTTCAGATAGCCAGTGCTCCTACGGGTCCACAGCTAGTGGGTTTCGTGGCATCGTGACACCGGCCGTCACAGGAGAGAGGAGAGAAGGAGAAAGGGAGAAAAAAAAGAAAGAAAGAAAGAAAGAAGGAAAGAGAGAGGGCGAGAAAGAGAAACAAAGATAGAGAGAAAGTAAGAGAGCGAAAGCAATAAGAGACCTAGGGTAAAAACGCCGATAGGGGGGTGCACGCCGTGTCCGGCGTCGTACGACGGAGCCGACAACGGCGTTCGATTCGTCGTACCGTACTTTAGGGGGGTAGATCCTACGTACGGACGTTTTACGTCGATATAAGGTCGATGCGATTGTCCCATACCAGTAAGCTAAAAGATCTCAACACTATCCTAATGGTCAGGATTTAATCATGGAAAATACACCATTGATATTGATAACTCTGCACAATGTATTATGGCAACTCGATATACACCATGGATAGTATGATGAATTTTATTTTAATACAAAACCAGCTTGTAAAGAGGCAAAACTTTTGTGTCAGGACTATTCAGCCCTGCGTTCATCATGTTACCGTAACTTAGACGGCGCCGAAACCGACCGTTTGTGCCCCGGTGGTTTGGTATCTTCCATTGCCCAAGTTTGCTGTGGAACCCTTCGTCTCTTCTTAGTACCCCCATATGCTTCCCCCTCGCCCGTTGAAGGATGCAGGGCTGTGAGTCCCCTGTACGAGCTTGGGTTTGTGCTACCAGGCTTAAAGTACTCTTTCACCGAGTTCTTAGCCGCCCTGAGAATCTCAGCAGGACTCGACCTAGTTCGACGGTGGCCCTGGCCTTCGCTTGGAGGGGTTTTGTTGGCGGGATAAATATATGTCTGCAAGATTTGTCAGAATCAATCAAAAGTGATGATATAAGAAGCTGTAAACAAAATAAGGAGCGCTTACCGAGAACCCTCTGGCAGCGTTCCTTTTGGCACTGTCTGTTCCCTTTGCTGAATCCTTAGTTTGTCTCATCTGAGCCATGTCCGCTTCGAATATCCTATTAGCCATTCTCATGCTGACCACTTCTGCTGCCAACTGCTCGTCGTCGATATTTCTTGGCGTCTGTAGTCCTGGAGGGAGCAAGGGGCTATTGGGTGAACCCATATCTTGTATATTTACTCGAAGGAGTCCTCCATCTACCGCAGCCAAGCTACTAGCGCTAGAAGGTGGGCGTGGTCTTCCTGAGGTAGCGATAGACATGGCACCGGCAGGACTTCTATTGACGCAAGGATATTGCCAAAAGTACAGAAAGGAGATACTGAGAAATGAACTTGCGCGTTATGAAAATGATCAGGTATGATTAGAAGTATTGCCAACTAAATGTTCATGACCGCGAAAGGTTGAGTTACGAACTGCTCTGATCGTGACCCGTTGGGATTAGATATATCTCTGGCTGTTGCTATCTGAATTTGGCCAGTACTCACATGCCAAGCCCATCGAGAACTTCGTAGAGCTGTGGCGTGCTGCTAACTAAAGTTGTCGGCGTTTCGGGCTGGATGCATCCTTGGCTGATCTGTTTGCAAGGAAGATCCGATGTTGACATGGACGGCTGTTCACTGGCAAAAGAATTCATGTGGTTGGTTGATCAGCAGAAGCGCGGTAGAGGCGAGTTTCTAGTGTGGCATGTGGCGCTGTCCGTGGTGACATGCACTCAAAACTACACCGTCTTCGCTAGGATATGCCAATGGCGTACGCCGAAGATTTGCCCGGCTGAACCTGAATAAGCTCATATAGTCTATACGTAGTCTCGGAATAGCCTGGGCTCAGCGCCAAGTTGCTTCTAGCTTCCACTGGATGTACCACCCGCATTCTATGAAGTAAGGTGGTCGTATATTTACGATTTATCGGTCCGTCAATAAGTCAAGGCGCATGCAACCGATCTATTGCATTCCTAAGCGTTCCCACTAAGACACAATCTCACTTATTGTGGTTGAATAGTTCCGCCTCACTCTGGCCACCTCTCCCGTCCGTGGAGGAATGCCTAAGTCATCCTCAACTGATTTGGGATTTGAAATGGCTCTCCCATGCAATGCAGCCACAACTAAGCTCACTTTGATGTAGGCTCATATCCATTGGCTGAATGTGTTGATCATCGGCATCGGTAGCTCTCGTGATTTTATTCATGGCCGCGCCACTGACATTCAGAGTTCTGGCGTGAGTATTCACATTATTGAGTACTAGTCAATCGCCCACATGTCATAGCTCGCGATAAATAAGACGGCGTGGGCTTTGCATGGTGGCTGACAGCATAGCTCATGTAGCCTATGGCAATGCACGATGATACTGTGCAAATGTTGAAGATATGGGACTTGTTTGACTTGCTCATGACAAGGTACATACCAAAGAAGAAGTCCAATGTTCTTAGAATCCCCGAATACTTCCTCATTCGCTTCTACTTGCTGCCGTTGCGTGTGGCGCCTTCTGCTGGTTGTTGGGCTCGTCTGTCGTCTCGGCTTGAGTTTCGTGGCTGTGCTCTAGTTCCGACAGGACAATCCAGGTGGGGGCGATGGCGAGGATGGTGATGCCAAAGTTGATACCAATGCTGACAAAGTGATTCGCATTGCCCTCAGATTGCATGCTACGCAGTGTTAATAAAGCTTCGATATGTCAGACTCGACCAGAATTTTAACGTACGCCCATGCAACGGTTTGGCCTAGAGCCTCGAAGCCGCGCAGAATACCAGTGTGGCGCAACAAAGATGAAAGATCGGTGGCATATTGCCCTACGAGCCAGTATAAGAACTGCTGGAAAGCTTGGCCGGCAAATGTCCAGAAGAAAACCAGTGCGTAAGCTTTGCCGAACCCGCCCCGAAACCAGTCAAAGATAGGCGCCGTCTCGGCATCGTAGAATTGCTTCTGGAGAATCGTCGCCCAGGTCCAAGTCCCAATAAGTACCAAAACGATGGCCGAGAATGCCATCTTGGCTCGAGTTTTGACGTAAATGGACTGGCGGTCGAGCAGAAACGCAACGGTGAAGGAGCTGAAAATGCCGGCAAAGTTGGTAAAGAAGGAGGAGAAGGCTCGAGCTCGTACAGTGAAGTAGCTGGTCAAGAAGGTGCTCACAAAACCGTTATAGAAGTAGCTGATGAAAAAGGCAGGGAGCAGGAGGAGAATGCGGCGGGAGACCAACATATGCAAGACGGCTTTGAATTCAGCACCCCACGACGGCAGGTGATGGATGGTGACTCTGGAACCATCTTTTCGCCAGACCTTGTGTGCTGGACTGAGACAAAGCGCGATGGGCAGGCCGAAGCACATGATGATGATGAAGACGATGTAGGTTGCAGATCCGACGGAACCGGAGCTTGATCTGTTGGCGTTCAAGCCGAGATTGATGGCGCCTCCGACAATGGGACCGGCTGCTTTGGCCGTCTGCCATATGGCCAGGTAGAAGGCTCTGTCCTTAGGGCTGGGATACCCAATGATGATGGCCGCCTCGGCAGCCCAGAAGAAACCAGCCGAGATTCCGCACAGCGCACTGCCGAAGAACATGAACCACGTCGTAGCATTGATGTTGTTGGTGTATAGCCCTGCACCGTATATGGGATAGCCGATGGCACCAAGAGCCAGCCCGTATGGCAGACCTAACCTGTTGTTTATAGCACCAGCGGCAACACAGACAATGGCGAACAAGCCGTACACAAGAGCGTTTGCAGCAGAGACGGCATACTGTTTGAAGTCGTCAGTGTTTTGGTAGAATTTACCGAACCACTGTACACTTGGCATGATGAAGCAATATTCCATTGGAATTTGGGATTGGGCCAACAACAGTCAACTCACCGGCTTGGCCGCACCTCCAGCACCCAGCCCTCCCAGTGCATCCCACATACCGGGCGCAGTGAACGAGACTCCGCATGCGACAGCGATTTGAAAGGGAACGGACCGGACCCGCGAGTGACGGGTTAGGACAGCTTCGGTTCCGCCTCCGCTATCATCGGCCGGCGAAGATGCCATGTTGTCTTCCTTGTTGGGCGGAATGACTCAAATGATATTATACACGAACAGGTAGAGTGAAGAAAAATAAGAGGAATTACACCCAGTGTTCTACATCGTGTAATTGTAGTGTGCGAATTCTTTCGGTGGAGCTATGGCGCCATCGCCTAGTTACGTAAATGGGTCAAGGTTCTGAAATTGTCATTGAGCAGTGGAATTATCGTGCTTGATTGAGTAGATATGATATTGATTCATCTTTTTACCTTATTCAAGAATCACAGCTCTATACTCTACCGAAGTGTCCTTCGTTAAGCTAACCTACGTGTTAGCTACCTCAATAGGAAAGTTAACGTACAACCCCACCTTTCCGGCCACATATTGCAATCCAATTGAGGTATTCGAAACAGTGTGTTCAATGTACTATTATAGCTATTCAGGTACAACCAGCTCTAATAGAAAGCTGTGCTCTAGGGCTTCCTGAGGTATAGATCTGATAGATTCTGACGCCTTAGCTGGGTCCAGTATTACCTGATTCCGACGTTGTACCTGGTCTCGTTGCCGTTCTACTTCAAGGGCTCGATCCATCGCTTCCTTAATCTGTATAATGTTACCAAATCGTTCATTAGGCCCTAATCGTACCTTCTTACGTGGTTTGCGGCGTAACGAAGTTATCTCGGCTTCTAATGCATGTACACGTTGGGTCAAAGTAGCGACCTCGACGCTCTGTACATCTAGCCGACGAGTCAGCTTCCGAAACAATAGCCGTTGCGACGATCCCAATGGCGTAATCGCTGTCAGACTCTCCCTAGCTACTAAGCTAGTCACTGGCGTCGCTATTATTGTCGGATCAAGCCGGTTCTGATAGGGGGGCTATCGTCGGCTGAGGTCGCGATGGATTCAATGGGTATATTCCAGTTGCAGAGAAGCCTGATTGTATATTACTGATCGTGAACGACTTCATATATGCCTCGATGTATAGCGAGAGGAACGTCGACTTTTTAAATGGAATAGAACAGTACTCGATCGAGAGAGAGGTCGCTAACGAGCGATAGTACCGCTTTAATGGAGCAAATACGTCGACGTCGAGAGGTTGGAGCCCGTGAGAACAGTGTGCTGTCAAAAATAGTAACGAAATCTTGTTACAATAGGCTAACCACATAAACTCGACGTTGTCGTGAGCGATATGACCATCTAATATCAAGAGCCGCTGCTTGTGACAGGCTGTGCCTGAAATGGGATCCGGAGCTGCAAGAACCTTGCGTCCGGATCCACCAAAGGAACCATCGAGGGCATATAAAAACATGGTTTGTGTTCTCGGAAAACTCGCTTATTTTACTTTCCTCCTCAGTTAGATAATTAACAGTATTTGGCCATGTTGAGCTGTATAGTTTCGCAGTGAGCCCGTCACAGCTTGTGGCTGCAACTTTCTTTTCGAGGACGGACACTTTTTAATGACTTCTTCATCTTTTCGATTCGACAAGCAATAGTGAAACGGGGTCAGGCGGCCAGTAGGATATACCTACCACCTAACACACTGAACAGACGGCTCCAGTACCAACAGATCGCATCTGTTGGTCTTATCAGACGAAGATCGTGGTACTGGTTATAATAGCGAAACTCTTATACGTCTGGTGCGCGAGTTGGTCGGATGTGCCTCTGAGACTCGTATCGTGATAATAGGATCTCGAACGTAAAGATAAGCTGAATAACTAAAATAACTAAATAACTGACTGAAAAGCGAAGGTGAAGATATAGATAAGAAGGAGATGATGATATGAAGATGAGGATGATGATGCGTGAAGATGAGGGACTCGTGTCCTACTCTGCCTCTGTGCCTCTTAAAGAAGAGAAAATAAACTTTCTCCTAGCCCCGTAACCTATTTCCCTGATGTCCGGCCTTACCCCGTTACAATAGTTAGCCATCATCGCACTCTTTTCAACGCATGCAATTCAGAATGTTGAGGGACACACAATAGAAATGAAGTGTATTATAGTGAGGAAAGAAAGCTAGGCTAGTGTTGTTGGTCTGGAACTAAGTAGTGGTGGTGGCTGCGCAGGTACCACCTCTGACACAGAAGCTTCAGTTCATGATTCACTTACACGTTCAGGGGATAGCTTCTAAGAATCCATCTATCCTTTTCATTTTAGCCTTGACAACTATGAGACATTGTGTCTTGCTCTGATCAGAGCAATCCAGTACTAGAGACAGCTTCAATTCGACTCCTAGTGTAACGGGGTAAGGCCGGACATCAGGGAAATAGGTTACGGGGCTAGGGGAAAGTTTATTTTCTCTTCTTTAAGAGGCACAGAGGCAGAGTAGGACACGAGTCCCTCATCTTCACGCATCATCATCCTCATCTTCATATCATCATCTCCTTCTTATCTATATCTTCACCTTCGCTTTTCAGTCAGTTATTTAGTTATTTTAGTTATTCAGCTTATCTTTACGTTCGAGATCCTATTATCACGATACGAGTCTCAGAACAAGACGTCTGGCTCTGGAAGTCGAATTGAAGCTCTCACTGGCACTAGATTGCTCTAATCAAAGCAAGATACAATCCTCTGTCATTATCAAGGCTAGGATAAGGGCAGAATAATAGGATTTCGAAAGTAGTGTCTAAATGCATATAGAAAAGAACCGCATGATTGAAGATCTGGCTAACTAGAATGGAGTGCAAAAGTCAAGTTGATTGAATAAGATGATGAAAAGAGATGACAAATTGTTGAAAGTCGTCTGTCATCTCCGTGTCCCTTAAGAAGTGTGGAAGACAGGGGAGTCCTCCTTGGCCCCCGTCAGCTACTTTCCTGACGTCCGGCCTGGCCCCACTACACTAGGAGCCAGACGTCCTATTCTGAGAATTATCCCGACACGAGTCTCAGAGGCACATCCGACCAACTTGCGCACAAGACTTATAAGAGCTTCGCTTTTACGGCCAGCACCATGATCTTCGTCTGATCAGACCAACAGATTGTTACGAATCTGCGATTCTAACCAACGCAACAGGCCCGATGGCAGGCCCAGTGGATACAGGACAAAGAAGGAGGGGAAAGTCACACAGGTTGATTGATTGATTGATTGAAATTTAACGTCTCATCACGTGAGACGTGCCGGGCGCAGTGCCGGCATGGTCTATGCTAGTCGAATCTATGTTACAGGGGACTGTCTTCATCTAACATTCCTGTTCAGTGCGATGGGCAGATCTCAGTAAAGAAATTGGTCTCCTCCGCCCATTGGCAAAACAAACGAGCTCCCTTGGCCGTGCCTAGGAGGGAATCTATACTATTCTTGGCCATATGCGCTTTTAGATGGCCGGGCGTGGCCTTGCGGCCGCGCTTGCAAAAGTAGAAGTGGACTGGTGTCTTTGTCTTTCCACACCCGCAGTTGAGCAGTGCGTCGCGATGCTGGAGTCTCTCGTGGTAGGTCACGAAATCCCGTGGTGCGACCTCGCTGCGAGTAATCTGCCTAGGTGTTGCCGGGGCAGGCCAAGTTCGGGGGGTCGCGGGTGGATAGCGATCCCTAGATCTCGATACTGTTGAGGGCAGGTAGTGGCCCATCGATCGTTGAAACTCTTCCAAGTGTAGGATCTCGCGATTCTCTTTATATGTGCGAATGAGGCCGGGTGTTGTGTCTTGGGTGGTTGCTCACAGGCCGCTTTGGCCTGGACATCTGCTTCTTCGTTTCCGGGGATGCCTACGTGTCCTGGGCACCACCAGATATACACTTGTCCCGGGGATGTCCAGGGTTTTCGCTCTCTCTGTGACCAGGTTTTGGACAGCTCTTGGAAGGCGGTGAATTTTGCTTGACTGCTTCCGGGACTTGGACAGATGAGCCTACCCGCAACCGCGAGATTATCGAGGCAGATGTGGACGTTATCTGCCATGCTGTTGGACGGAAGCTTTACAGCCTCCTGAAGCCCCCGTAGTGCTGCGTGGGCTTCCGCATCGTATACCTCTATCTGAGAGCCCAGTAATTCGGACCCGCAGAGTAGTCTTTTACCGGCCTGATAACCAGCCCAGCCTGCTCCAGCTAAGGTCCTGTCGCTATGGGTAGCCAGCGAGCCGTCTGTATAGATTATTATATCGCGCTTTGAAAACTCGTTTATCCTTTGTAGAAACGAGCGGGCAGCCTCCTCCTTTGACTGTCCTGGGATATAACCGATCTTGGCGAGGGTGATGGACCATTCGCCAGCCTGCTCCCAGGGCGGTATTTGCAGAGGATCTATATATTCTGCAGTATCTGGGGTTAGGCTCGCCATACGCCTTAACCTCGAATCGGGGCCCGTAGGATGTCTGAGCCTCCTGCGTAAGGGATGGCGGCTATCCAGTTTGTGTAATCTAACAGAAGCCGCATAGAGTTTTGCGTCGAGTGCGATTTCTGCTGGCGGTAGTGCCGCTTCCCGTTGCAGGATCGGTATTGGCGTGGTCCTATATACAGGAAGCATGGCTCTCATTGCGGTATTCTGCGTTCGATCCATTTGGTCAGCTAGGGATTGGACCCGGTTTGAGATAATGCGTCCATTCTTGTTCTGTCTGGCAGACGGCCACCATGCTTCCGAGGCGTAGAATTGCACGGGGAGCACGCACGCGATTACAGCTTGACGGAGTAGTCGTGTTGGGGCCCCTCTGATTGTGTTTCCTAACGACCGGAGTCCGTTAGCAACCTGTAGAGCTTTAGCTGAGACGAATTTGACATGGGCCTTAAAGCTAAGCTTTCTATCGAAGTAGACGCCTAACCACCTGAGTGCAGCACCGATTTTGATGGGTTGAACAGTGTGGATCGTTCCATTCTGTTGCGTAGTGGTAATGGGTGGGTTTGCATCTCTCCCTCTTCTTGTGAAGTGTATTAGCTCCGTCTTGTCGGGGTCGAACGTGATACCCTCAGACATGCTCCAGTCGAGTGCTGCTTTCCACTCTTCGGCCAGTATAGTGCAATTTTCTTCTAGGGAACTAGAGCTTGACAGTATAGCTATGTCGTCCACGTAGCCGAATCGCGAGCGCTTGCGTCCAGGTCTGCAGGTGCC